GACCTGGAGGCCGCCGCGCGACGAGCGCGACTTAGCCTTGGCGCGGGCCTTGCCGCCGGTTTTGCCGCGGCCAGACATGGTGCGCGAGGTAGATCAGGAGACAGGAACACTTCTGAGGAGATCCGGGACAGACGACCGCCGCAGTCCGACTGTTGCCGCGCGCCCGGGGGCCGCCCTTATAAGCCTCCGGGGCACACCTCCGCGCCCTCCTGATTGGCTCTTTTCTCTAATACCCGCCTCCAGTTGGTTGCGATGAGCTCTTCCGTGACGCGCGTCGGGTGAGGGAGCGCGCTCGCCGATTGGTCGAATTTGAAAACCTTTTGCCCGGGGAAAACAGGCGAGAAGGAGTGGCTGCACGGAGCCAGGCAACCTCCCGGGATGGAGCCAATCCGTGTAGAGCGCGCGAGATTTAAACGCAGCCGTCAGAGACCAGAACCGGAAAAGGGGTGGAGTCTGAAGCTACCTAGGCAGCCTCTGGGAAATCTGTTCTGATCTGAGGTTTTTGGTTTTTTTTTTTCTGATCTGAGGTTTTTAAAGAGGTGAACCCAACTATAGCTTCTTCCTCCCCTTCCAGCTCTAGTCACTGCCTACTCCCTCCTCCTATTGGGCAAAGGAAGGGTGAAAAAAGGAAGAAATTAGACCCCCTCTCCCTAAAGATCCCAGGCTAGAAAACAGGGTATAACTCCAATCCTAGGACCCTCCAGGCTACTCGAAGCATCAGAATTTCATGATTTATTCAACATGTCAGGTCTCAGTTCTGTTCACTTCTTGTGACTGGCGTCTGACAGGGCAGAGAGATTGGCATCCTCTTGGAAGAGTTAACCCCACCGGCCCTCCCCATCTACTCTAAAATGCCCAATAGAAAATACAACATAGGAACAACAAGAAAAAGACAGTACTTTATTGTGACTCTTGGGAGCACCTGGCTCTCCAGTCTCCTTACTAATCAGAACACTTCATGTATGGTCAATGTCAAGTCATTGTCGAACCTGTGCCTCTATCCCCAGCCCAGATTCCATCCCAAGGCCCGGCATATTCCTTGAGCAACAGGATTCTAAAAGCTGAATTGTGGATAACTGCATTAAAGCTGCTGGATCCCAATTTAGGAGGCTCCAAAGATGGGGTGGAGAGGGAGACAATGGCAAGTCGAAGAAAACCATAGGCAAAGTCCAACCAATCAGGCATTGGAGGGCAAGAAAGGCCCACAATGTCAAAAATCACAGGGGGACGGAAATGCTGAGAACAAAATCTGGAGGAGAATGAAGGCTGGGAAAGGCCTGGGCCAGGAAGCAGTCTTGGTCCAGACAGAGGTAGGCCCAAATCAGAAACTCTGGAGGCAGAGGTGAAGAACAATGAGCAGGGGACTCAGACATCATAGAAAAGTCGAACAAGCTGGTACCGAATGGAGAAGGTGACAGCACTGCCCAGGATCTGCAAGGAGACAAACTGGAGTTAAGAGCCATGAAAAAGGAGAGAAAAAGAAATAACTCTCTCCCTCAATCTCACCTGCAGCAGCAGCAGGAGCAATGTGAGATTTCGCTCATGTATGGGCCCAAGGACTTTAAGCAGCAAGTTGATGAGGGTCATGTTGTTACACTCAGTGAAGGCGCCATCCTCATCCTCACCATGGCGCACTGTCACTAGCTGGAGGCTCTCTGCTACCTGGAGGGGCCAGAGATGGGGAGAATTCCAACTAATACTTATGACCGAGGAATGGGGATCTGCTTAATGCTTTCAAACTCCCATTGGATTTGATGCAGGCCTAGGTTCCCAGTTCCGAGTGTAGGAGGGCAGCCTAGGGCCTTCCCTCCTTATTACCCTGTTACCTTTAGAATAAAGGTGCCCAAGAAAGAGAGGCTCTTGGTCTTGAACTTGGAATAGCTCATCTCCAGTTTGCCTGTCTTGGTATTGAGTCTGTGGGGGGAAGACAGCTTCATGTGACTGGGCCTCTACTCAAAGAACTCTCCTCCCTGTGGTTAATTAATAGGAAGAGCACTGGCTGTGGAGTCGAACAACCTGAAATCTATTTCTGGGTCTGCTGCTTACTCCTCTGTGATCGAAATGCTGTGAGCACTCTGTGGGAGTACGTAACTAAACGTGCTTTGTAAATTATAAAAGGTTACCCACATGGAAAGAGCCCTTCTGTGAGTCCACTCTCTTTGCACAGCAAATGTAAAGGCTGGCTTCAGAAACCCCAAGTGAAAAGGCCACAGTGTCCCTTTCAAACCCCAAAGTGGCTACCTGGGTATACGGTGTCGAGGACAGGGGATGATATGCAGGAGCTGAGGTAGTGAGTAGAGGAAGTTGAACACCTGGGGCATGAAGAAGAGCAGCATGGTCTTGCTGAAGTGTCCTAGGATGCCCACCACAGCAAAGGTCATGCCGGCAAAGTAACAGAAGGTATCTCCCACGAACACCTGTGACGGGTACCTGTGTGGGAGAGAAGACCTGAACCTGTGGCAAGAGGCATAGCCAACCTCCTGATATCACACACTTTGGGTGCTGGGCGGGCCCTGACCCTAGTTCTTTTTTTTTTTTTTTTTTTTAGAAGTTTTTGCTATAGGGCGCATGCGGTCACCAAAAAGACAAAGAGAGACATAGAGACAGAAAGCGAGAAATCACCCCCCAGGGTGGATGGCCACGCCACAATCCCTTCTCCTCCATTCTCCTCTCAGGATCTTGGGCACGCACGCACACGCGCCTGGCGTGAGTTTAAACCACCGGGTCTGGGACTCGAACCGTGGTTGGCTACATGGGAGTTCAGCGACATAGCCATTACGCTAACTGCTGGTCCCCCCTAGTTCTAACTCAGAGAGACTCCAGCTGCCCCAGCACCTCCGGGGGGGGGGGGGGCCCCGCCCCCTTTTTTTTTTTTTTTTTTTTTTTTTGAGAAGTTTTTGCTATAGGGCGCATGCGGTCACCAAAAAGACAAAGAGAGACATAGAGACAGAAAGCGAGAAATCACCCCCCAGGGTGGATGGCCACGCCACAATCCCTTCTCCTCCATTCTCCTCTCAGGATCTTGGGCACGCACGCACACGCGCCTGGCGTGAGTTTAAACCACCGGGTCTGGGACTCGAACCGTGGTTGGCTACATGGGAGTTCAGCGACATAGCCATTACGCTAACTGCTGGTCCCCCCTAGTTCTAACTCAGAGAGACTCCAGCTGCCCCAGCACCTCCCCAGGACCCAAAGCCCTGAATGCATCTGCTCTTAAGGACTCCAAGTGCATCCTCAACTGGGGAGAGAGCAATTTCAGGAAAGTACCAACCAAATACCCAGAAAACACTCAACGCAGGTCCGGACAGGTTTAGTCTCCATAAGGAAGTGGGTTATGATCATGACCACGCACGCCACTTGTTCAGACAGATGTCCCCTTTATTCACAGCCCTACTTACCAGTTATGGTAGAGCAACCCCAAGGTGGTGAAGAAAAAGGGTATCATGAAGTAGAGAGAAAAGACGTGATCATCACGATAATCACCTGTGAAAGCAGGAGAACAAGGAAAAAGCTCATTCTGACTTCCTCTGTAGCCTCTGGTTCTATTTTTGTCTGTCTCTAAGTTCTGTATCGTCCACCTCATTCAAGCCACTTTCAAGAACTCACTACCCCTTTTATGTCGCCCAGGCCATTCTCAATATTCTACCTCTTTCACAAAGCCTTTCTAATCTAGTTACCATCTTAAATGTGACTGACTGTTCTGACCTGGGTTTGAACACTAGCTCTACTTCTCTAAGCCTGTTTCCTCATCCTCATTTGTAAAAATAGGGCTGTGAGGGACCAACGGGTGGCATAGTGGTTAAGACGCTGGACTACCACATGGCAGACAGTGGTTCAGGTCCCAGACACTGCAGCTTGAAACTCATGCCAGACATGTATGTGTGCATGCCTAAAATTCTGGTAGGAGACTGGAGGAGAAGGGATGGTGGCATGGCCATATCCCCCCCCCCCGGGGTGGGAATCTTCTTGCTTTCTGTCTCTCTCTCTCTCTAGTGAGCACATGCACCCTACAGCAAAAAAAAAAAAAAAAACAACCTCTAAAAAAATTTTTTAAATAGGGCTGATGACAATATCAACCACATAGAGGCATTCCAAGACTTAAATGAGGGGAACCAGCAGTTGGCGTAATGGCTATGTCGCTGGACTCCCTCGTAGGAAACTGCGGTTTGCGTCCCGGACCCGGTGGCTTAAAACTCACACCGGGCATGTTTGCGTACGTGCCCAAGATCCCGAGAGGAGAATGGAGGAGAAGGGATTGCAGCATGACCATCCCCCCTGGGGGGTGATTTTTCGCTTTCTGTCTCTATGTCTCTCTCTGTCTGTCTGGCGAGCGCACGCGCCCTATAGTGAAAATCTCTCAAAAAAAAAAAAAGATTTAAATGAGATGTTTAAAAAACACTCAGCTTTAATAAGCACTTGTTGATGTCTACCAGCCAAAGACCACCGGAAAGACAGCTATGGTCAAAGTTGAGTTTACTGACTTGTGAAAAGGGAGACTTCAAAAACCACATATCATGAGAAGTACAAAATGGCTCAGTAAAAGGATTAGGAAGGACTTGTTATAGGATTTGTTTCAGGGTAGTTTTGGAGAGGGTCTAAGTAGAGTTTTGCTCTGAACTGGGTGCTTTCAGAAAGGACAAGTAATCCCTACGATTAAACATCTTTCTTTGTTTTGTTTTGGTTTTGCCATAGGGTATGTGCACCTGCCAGAGGGGAATAGAGACAAGGGAACTGAGAAATCAGCATGGCCATGCTCCTCCATTCTTCTTTTGGAAAATTTAGGCATGCCTGCACATGCACCTGTTGTGATTTTCAAGCTGCCAGGTCCAGGACTTGAACTGCATTCAGCCATGTGGGAATCAGCACATCATCTGCTGGCCCCTATGAATGAACATCTTAATAATTTTTATTAGGGGAACCAGCAGTTAGCGTAATGGCTATGTCGCTGGACTCCCACGTAGTCGACCGTGGTTCACGTCCCGGACCCGGTGGCTTAAAACTCACGCCGGGTGCATGTGCATACGTGCCCAAGATTCCAAGAGGAGAATGGAGGAGAAGGGACTGCGGCGTGACCATCCCCCCTGGGGGGTGATTTCTTGCTTTCTGTCTCTATGTCTCTCTCTGTCTGTCTGGTGAGCGCATGCGCCCTATAGTGAAAAACCTCTCCAAAATAAATAAATAAATAAAAATAATTTTTATCAAATAAATGGGAAGAACTGAGTTGTTATTGGAAAGCAGCAGAAGTCTCTCATGGCAGCCAGGAGAAGAGAGTTTGGGCATTCTGTGGGTTGCTCAGTGTTCTTGTGGTTTTGCCTGTGCTCAAATGGAGGAAGCTGGTCCATCATGGCCACAGGACGACTTTGACATTGGGTGTAAAATCACTTCTGTACAATAGGAGATGATCATGGCCTAGCTGTTAGTGCCAACCCAGCTTTTTTTTTTTTTTTTTTGGAGCGATTTTTCACTGTAGGGCGCGTGCGCTCGCCAGACAGACAGAGAGAGACATAGAGACAGAAAGCGAGAAATCACCCCCCAGGGGGGATGGTCACGCCACAATCCCTTCTCCTCCATTCTCCTCTCGGGATCTTGGGCACACACGCACACGCGCCCGGCGTGAGTTTTAAGCCACCGGGTCCGGGACACGAACCGTGGTCGACTACGTGGGAGTCCAGCGACATAGCCATTACGCTGACTGCTGGTTCCCAGTGCCAACCCAGCTTTAAATGATAGAGCTGCTACTTTTCTGACTCACATTTAATAAATCTTCATTGTTATTATTAGTTGCAAAGTAAAGAGCTTTTGTTATCTTCAACAATTACGTTTTTTTTTTAATTCCCCAAAGCCATATATCAGGCAACTAACTTCCTTAATATGCAGAGTTTTCTCTCTCCATATCCCCAATTCCACCTACCTTCCAGCTCCACCAGATTGAAGACAATGATGGAAGCAGAAATGACCAGCGACTGGCCGGCCTCTAGGCCATTAATTCCTGCTAGGATATTGATGGCGTTGGTACAGAATACTGCCAGCAGCCCCATGTAGACATAGTACAGGATCCCTGGGGGTAGGGGGGAGACACGGTATAAAAATAATGCCATGGGGTCCAGCAGGTGGCAGTGGTTAAGGGTGCTGGACTCCCACGTGGCCGACCACTGTTTGAGTCCCAAACCTGGCAGCTTGCTTTCTCACTTTCTCTCTCTCTCTCTCCCTCTCCCTCACTCTCTGGTCAAATTAAAATAATAAATAAATAAAGTTAAACAAAATTATTCTTTAAAAAAAAATAGTGCCATGTAAGGAAGGAGAAGTTAAGGGTAGTGTTTTTTTTTTTTTAAAGATTCATTTTATTTTATTTATTCATTCATTTAATTTGACCAGAGAGAGAGGGAAAAATAAGAAAGCAAGCTACCAGGTTCAGGACTTAAACCATGGTCAGCACCTTAAAAACCATGCCACCTGCTGGTCCCAAGGGTAGTCTTAAAGGAGAAAAGTGGCGAGGGCAGAAGACAGAGTGGAAAGCCACTAGAAGGAATTGGAGAAGATACAGGGACAGGATGGGGTCACTTGGGCAGACAATCTGGAGCACCAGGAAAAGTGTTCTGCTGGATAGCTCAGAGGGAAAAGGGTCCCGTCAGTAGGCACCAGAGGAGTAGTAATGGCAGGGTTACTCACCCAAGTCCAGATGTAGGCCGAGAATCAGGCGCAAGGGCTTGGGTACCACAATGGTGGTGTTGCCAAAGTTGGTGAAATAGACCATGAGGAGAGGTAGTGAGGCAGCTGTGGGCAGCAGCAGCTTATGGCGCCAGCGCAGATTCAGTACATCGTCAGCAAAGCCCAGGAAAATCATGCAGCAGATGGCCAGGAGAGCACCTATCAGGGCCACAAACTGGGGGAGGCTCCGAAAGTTATGATTTAGGCCTATGCCATTCCACCTCTCAAGAATTCCTGTCTTTTCAGTTCGTCCTCCAGCCCCCCTCCCCAAGCCCAAATAACCCCCAAGTCTCTTAGGCACCTCTCAGGCCCCAGCCACAGGCAACCGTTCCCACGAATCCACTTACTTCATGGTGGGGGAACGCCTTACACTGCTCCTCCACAAAGCAGTTCAGGAAGGGGAAAGGGATGAAGCAGAAGAGGATGATAAGGAAAACAGCACCGCTGATCACTCCCTGGGACTCCGGGCTGTGGCCCAGCGAGACGGTGGGCAGGGAAGAGGAAGGGGGGGTGTGGTCACTAGGGCAGGCGTTACGGTAATCCAAAGTGGTCTTCTACCCGGTTTTTTTTTCTTTTTTTGGAGGGTAGTGGTGGAGGGAGTAGGGCCCCCCTGCAGGAGTCCCTGATCCACCCACGCTCTCCCGCCCTTCCCTTCCCCAATGTCCCCCAACACCAAACAGAGTCCGGCTCTGCCCACTTAATTCTCGGTCCCGCGCACTGTCAAGCACCCGGTCCTCGTGCACTGTCAAGCACTCAGTCCCCGCCCCTGCCCTGCCCACTCTCTCCTCCGCCCTTGCCCCCTGCCCGGGACCCGGGCGTCGCTGCTCACATCGGCTGCCGGCTGGGTTTGTTGAGGTCCTGGCCACAGAGGCGCGCTGCGATGAAGTGGCCGCGGAAGGCCGGGATGAGTGTGAGTGTAGCCACAAATCCCAGCAGCGAGCCGATCAAATTCACCAGCAGCGGCATCGGCAACTCCGGGAAGGCCCACATGGTGACCCGCCAGGGTCCCCTCTGCGTCGCCTCCTCAGCTAACCGGCCAGCTGGGCAAACAGCCCGGAGGCCTCAGCAGCAAGGAGTGACCGTTTCTCACCGGCAGCGCCTTCCTGCACCAGCCTGGGCAAAACTCAACAACTCTGACTTAAACTGCCCTTGGGACCCCTCCCGGAGGCTGTAAAAAGCAAGCCAGGCTGTGCCCGGCTGCACCTGCCTACCCGCTGTTTCCGCCCGGATCCTGATAGTGGCGCAACTCTGCTACGGAAGGCGGCGGCCGCCATTTTTGATGTGGGCGCTGGAGGGAGAACAAGTTATTTTAAGCCGTTTTCTTTGTTCGAGAGAGGAGTCAAAACGGGAGTATTGGAAAAGCAATTAAAGAAAGAAAAACAAGATCGGATACTTTTCTAACATTATATTAGAGATAAACAGCGCAGAGTGGAAACACCCCTCGCCCAGTTCCAAAATGAACGCCTCCTTGTACCACGTGGCTGACACCGCTCACTGTCTGGCTCCACGTCAGTTTTAGCTCTGCTTCGCCCGCAGGTCACGTTTAAAGGGCCAATCCCGGCGCCTCCTCTGGGATGCCCCTGGAATCAGAAATGTGCCTGCTGGAATCCAGAAGTTGGGCAGGAAGGACGAGGGTGCGGACCCGCGCCTGCCCCTCGCAGGAAACTTGATGCCCGCGCAGTCGGAAGCCGCGGTAAACAGAAATCAGATCCCGGACACGTAGTTACAGTTTGGAAGGATGATGTAAATCCGACAGCCCCTCCCACTCGTTTTTTCTGGTCCTTGATCCAGGTACTTTTCCCTTAACTTCCCACCCACCTTCTGTCGCCTTTGTAGCAATTAGTTGCCGGGCAACCCAGCGCTGCTCCTCACCACGGGAGGAATTGGACGTGCCCTCGGGTGTTAGATTTCACCAGGACTTTCGCTTGGTCCTGGATCACTGCATGGTGCCGAACTCCCAAAATGTAGAGATGGAGGCTGAAGCGTTGGCAAGAGCTGAGGCGGCGGGAGAACCGTGGAACTCCTGTCAGCATTCTTTCTCCGGATCACTGTTGCTTTTGCTTGGCAACTGTTTCCTTGTACTCAGGCTCTTAGGCCATGGATATTTCCAGTCCTTTGGGAGGAAACTACCATCAGAGAGTTAGAGGACAAAGTGGTCTGGCATGCTCTCCATTCTTCCCAATATGGCATGTTCTAGGAGTCAGGGTCGGGTTTACTCCTTTTCTTTTTTTTTTAAGAAAGAGCTTTTTTTTTTTTTTTAACTTTATTTATTTGTTTATTTTAAGATTTGATCAGAGAGGGACAGAGCAAGAGAGAGAGAGAGAGAGAGAAAGCAAGCCACCAGGTCCAGGACTCAAACCATGATTGGCCATGTGGGAATCCAGCGCCCTTAACCACCACGCCACCTGCCGGCCCGAGAGAGTTTTGCTATAGGGCACGTTCACTCCTCTGAGAGACAGAGACAGAAAGCAAGAAATCATTGCCCCCACCCCCCAGGATGGAGGGCCACTCTACAATCCCTTCTCCATTCTCCTCTCAGGATTTTGGGCACACACACACACATATGCCCCTGGGGTGAGTTTTATGCTGATTATGTGTGAGTCGTAACCATTACACCATCAGCTGGTCCCCAGGTTGACTCTTTTTAGCCAAAGAGAAGTCTCTCCTTTCTCTCAAAACCAGGTGTGAAATGGCTCTTCTACCTGAAGGTGGCCGTAAGTAACAACAGCAAAACGGTCAGACATGTATGAAATACATGAATATGTGTATACACATACAGAATCTCTAATGTACTTGATAGTAGCCCCCCGAATTTTCAGTACTTCTTATTACTCCGCTGATATTGTGTGTGTGTGTGTGTGTACTAGCGCCTGCTACTTACACTGGAAACTCCCTGTAGGTTAGTGTTTTCTGTGGCGTAGGTGTCCCCATTGGGTTAAGGCATCATCACTCATAATGAGCTTGAGTCTGAAAGAGGGACAGAGGGCAATAGGTGCATATGGAAGGAGCAGTTAGTGTGTCCAGGGGAAGTGACAGCGCCTTGGGGAAGAACAGTAGCTTGCAGGATTTCAGGAGATGGGAAGAGTAGAAGGGCTTTCCAAATGGGGGTGGAGGAGGGGGGTCAGGAGCAGGTGGAAAGGAGGAGCTTGTGGGATTCCCAGAGGAGGTAGCATTCAGTTATCTTGTTGATCAGGAACATGCCGAGACTCCCTGGAGGTCTGAGAGACAGTCTGCATCTATTTCCTTTTTTATTAGGAGGCCAATCCTAATAAATCTTCTTTCCCAGCCTGGCAAAGGGAAGCTTTGTCTCTTTCTTCTCCAGAGATCATTAGCTCTCCCCACCCCCAAGAGGGTGGGAGGACTTGTTCAAAGACAAGGCACTAGGGATTCATCATCCATGTATACATGTTACCATCAGAAAATGGTTACTAGGATACTTGTCGAATACTCTGAATATTTTTGTTCCCATGATGGTAAATGCCCAGTTGATAATCAGACTCATCAGAAGGAGAGACAAACATATGACTATTGGCCTCTCTTGAAATGTACCGTTTCTGGTAAAAGTTCCAAAAGCATTTTCCTGAATGCTAAAGCAGGCCTCAGGATTCACAGACCAGCTGCCCTGGGCTGAACAGTGTCAGAGATGCACATCTGCTTTAAGTAGTGCTGAGTGCCCCCCAGCGAGCAAGGCCAAACCACCATTATGTCTGCTAGCCAGACAAAGCCTTCCCCAGAGTCTCCCGCTGCCTGACAAGACAATAAGACAGCTCTGGATCCTGGGCTCTGACACTGCAGGACCCTATCTGTGGCTCTGTCCAAGAAGCTGAACTATTCTTTTTTTTCTCTTTTCTCTATCCCTTCCCTTTTAGTCTAACAAACGAACGTCAAGAGCTAAAAGCCAGCCAGTGTAGCTAGATCTCATGTGGCCAACTTCACAGTTTGAGTCCCAGACCTGGCTGCTTAAAAAATACACCCATGGGGACCAGCAGGTAGTGTAATGGTTGCAACGCTGGACTCCCACATAATCAACCACGGTTTGAATCCCAGACCTGGCAGCTTAAAACTCATGCTGGGCACATGTGCATGTGTGCCCACACTCTTGAGAGAAGAATGGAGGAGAAGGGATTGCGGCGTGGCCATCCCCGCTGGGGGGTGATTTCTCGCTTTCTGTCTCTGTTTCTGTCTGTCTCTCAGGTGAAAGCACATGCCCTATAGCGTAAAAAAACAAAACAAAACAAAACAAAACAAAAACAAAAAACCCCCCACAAAACTCTTTAAAAAGATTAAAAAAGAAAAATACAACCAGGTATGCCCAAAATCTGGAGAGGAGAGTGGAAGAGAAGGGATTGTGGTGTGGCCTAGGGGCTGATTTATCACTTTCCCTCTCTCTCTTTCTCTGGCATGCACACTCATCCTATAGTAAACTTAAAAAAAAAAAAAGTCAATAGTTGAAAGCAAGCATAAGATCTCCCATACTTTTTCAAAAGACATGAACAGTGTAGAAATTCTTAGGGTCAGACTTTTTTATTCTTAAGATCTTTGCCACAGGGTCATGTGTGATGGAGAGAGACAAAGGGAGAAAGAGAAAGGGAAAGTGAAAAATCACCCAGGGGGGTGGCCACACTGCAGTCCCTTCTCTTCCATTTTCCTGGGATTTGGGGCATGCAGACACACATGCCTGGTATGATTTTCAACCCACTAGATCTGAGACTCGAACCATGGTCGGCTATGTAAAAATCTAGAGTTTTAACTACCTCCTCCCCACCACCCTTTGTTGGACTTCCTAAAATTACAAACAATCTGCTAATTCCTAGTATATGCATAGAAAACTTTTTTTTTTTGGAGAGGTTTTCGCTATAGGGCGCTTGCGCTCGCCAGACAGAGAGAGACATAGAGACAGAAAGTGAGAAATCACCCCCCAGGGGGGATGGTCACGCCACAATCCCTTCTCCATTCTCCTCTCGGGATCTTGGGCACGCACGCACACGCGCCCGGTGTGAGTTTTAAGCCACTGGGTCTGGGATGCGAACTATGGTCGACTACGTGGGAGTCCAGCGACATAGCCATTACGCTAACTGCTGGTTCCCACATAGAAAACTCTTTTAAGTACTGTGAAGGATACAAAATGATGGCTATGTTGCTGGACTCCCACGTAGTCGACCATGGTTCGCATCCCGGACCCAGTGGCTTAAAACTCACACCAGGCGCGTGTGCGTGCGTGCCCAAGATCCCGAGAGGAGAATGGAGGAGAAGGGATTGCGGTGTGACCATCCCCCCTGGGGGGTGATTTCTTGCTTTCTGTCTCTCTCTGTCTGTCTGGTGAGTGCACACGCCCTATAGCGAAAACCTCTCCAGACAACCTCTCTCAAAAAAAAAAAAAAGATATAAATGTAGTTGCTTCCCCCAAAGGAGCCTACTTCAGCAAATTTAAAACACCTTGGTGGAACATGAGGGAAGAGAGTTGAATAAGACATGATCTCTGCTCTTAAGCAGCTTCCTGATGAGCAGAAAAAGCAGACATGGGAGCCAGTAGGTGACCTGGTGGTTAAGGTGCTGGATTCCCACATGGCTGACCATGGTTTGAGTCCCAGACCTGGTGGCTTGCTTTCTCACTTCCGCCCCAGCCCCCCTTTGTCTCTGGTGAGCAGATTAAAATAATAATAATAATAAATACAAATTAAGTAAGTGATTATTTAAGAAATAAAGAAAAGGCAAGCATAAACCACCAGTTAACTGTAAGGCAGAATGCCTTGTAAGCACTAATGATCTAACAGGTAGAAGACTGGGAGGACTGACTAGGCATACTCAAGTAAGACTGAATTCTGAAGCAGTACCTGGCAGCTCAGGACAAAGTGCTCCATGGAGGAGTTGAGGGGGTAAATTCAAGACCTCAGAGAACTGAGACCCTTAGGAGGCCCAAGGATTCCTGAAAGCTTCTTGGGGGAAGAGGGTCTTTTTTTTCTTTTCTTTTCTTTTTTGGGAGAGGTTTTTGCTATCAGGCGCCTGCGCTCACCAGAAAGACAGAGAGAGAGAGAGAGAGATAGAAAGTGAGAAATCACCCCCGGGGAGGAAGCACACACTACAATTCCTTCTCCTCCATTCTCCTCTAGGGATCTTGGGCATGCATGCACACGCGCCCAGCATGAGTTTAAGCCACCAGGTTTGGGACTCGAACCGTGGTCGACTACATGGGAGTTGACTGACATAGCCATTACGCTAACTGCTGGTCCCAGAAGAGGGTCTTCATAGCAAACCTTGCACCAGGACAACTTCCTCCACAATCTGCTCCCCAGCCCTGGCTTCTCTGTCCACTAATGGCTTCCTCCTGCACCCGTGGTTCCTAGCCTTGCTTTTTCTCCTCCCTTTGAGATTAGAAACCCAGATTCTAGGGGCTGGCAGATGGCATGGTGGTTAAGGTGCTAGACTCCCACATGGTCAACCACGGTTCAAGTCCCAGACCTGGTGATTGCTTTCTCAATTCCCCCTCTCTCTCTCTGGTCAGTGTATGTGTCCTATAGCAAATTTTAAAATAACAATAATAATAAAAAATAATAATAAGACATAAAATTAAATAAGAATTCTTTAAAAAAATATAAATAAAACCCAGATTCTAGGGATTGCCATAGGTTTTGGAGTCCAGTGACAGAGCATGGGCCAGGTCACAAAAGTTTATCTCCTCACCCCTAGTGCTCCCCATCATTTGTTACAGTGAAACCTGGGGACTGCCACCTCCTCTGGCCAGGCCACCCTGTTGCTGGCCTGCTAGGTTCTGCCTCACTTTGCCACTCCACGCTTTAGCAGTCTCTCGTGCTCATTCCTTAGACCACAAACTGGATTTGGGAGGACGCTGTCTGACCCCTTTTCTTCCTACCTTCTTAGGAAGGGACTGTGTGGCAAAGACCCTCCCATATTGAAGAAGGAGCGCTTGGGAAATGGGGATCTGGGTGGGTCTGGAGGCCAGAGGTTAGTGTACTGACACTGCTTTTTTGGGAGATTGTTAGGATTTCACATATGAGAGGTCTTTGAAAAGTAAATGAAGGGACCAGCAGTTAGCCGTAATGGGTACGTCACTGAACTCCCATGTAGTCGACTGTGGTTCCAGTCCCGGACCTGGTGAATTAAACTCACGTCGGGTGCATGTGCGTGCGTGCCCAAGATCCCGAGAGCATGGAGGAGAAGGGATTGTGGCATGGCCATCGCCCCGGGGGGGGATTTCTCGCTTTCTATCTCTCTGTCTCTCTCTTTCTGGCGAGTACACATGCCCTATAGCCAAAAAAAAAAAAAGTAAATGGAAAATGGGGATTATGAAAAAGAAAAAAACTACGCACGGATTTTAACATGTTTGTACCAAAATAAACTTGTATTTTAATTCCATTTTTCCACAAAGTTTTTGAAGTTCCCTCACATGGTATTTGGCTGGTGGTGTCTTCTGGCCGGATCTATCTGCCGTCCAGTGCTCGTGCCAGCTCCACCGTCATTGCCACCCCCTCTACACTGCTTCATAGGCAGGAGCTGTTACTATGGAAATGTATTATTTTTAAAAACAGAGCCCTGGGTTTGGGAAATATCTCCAGTAAAACCCACATGAGCAAGGAGGTTATGGGGTGTCCCTGGGTCCTAGCTCTAACAGGAAGAGAAGAATGGAGAGCATTGAATATTCCATTTTCTATTCTCAACCTCTACCAGGTTTAGGTCCTTTCCCTTTGGTCGTTGTCAGATGGACCTCTGTCAGACGCTTCTGTCTGGGAGGGATGCTCTGCATCTCCTTGCCCAGGGCCTAGCTTCGGCCAGGGAATGGGAACCCAGAAGAGGGTGGGCCTGGAGGTGTTGGGAGAAGGGGGCGGTGATTTCCACAGGTCACCGCCTTCTTAACCCCACAGCTGTCGAACCTATAGAAACAAAACCAAGAAACCTCGGGGAAAGCAAAGGTAGCATCTTAAGTAAGTTGCTCTCCGGGTGAGCTCCGTGAAGGGAGCAGCCTAACTCCCCAGGATGGGGCGGGGTGGTCAAAGATCCCGCCCATTTTCAACCCCGGAACCTCCTCCGCTCGCGCCCGGTCCTCCGCCCTCCTCCCCGCCCGAGCGCCAGGCTGGCCCGGCCCCGCCCGGCGCGGGTGCGGC